CGTGCGAGCATAGAAAGACAGGGGAAGCATGACAGAGGTGACCCCTCAACCCTGCTGTCTTTGCTAAAACATTAGGGTGGGGGATTGCTTCAGTCCCACTTGCCATGCCTTTCTATGCCCGCCTGGGAATAGAAAGACAGGAGAAGTCCCATTCAAGCATTCGCCCACCCTGCTGTCTTTGCAAAGACAGCAGGGAGAAGTCCTTTGGTCAGGCTTCTCCTGTCTGTGCTGCAGGGGCATAGAAAGACAGGGGAAGCCTAAGCAAAGTGATCCCCTCATCTTTGTAAACGGGGGTGGGATTCCCTTCAAGCAGGCTTTAACAAGTCACCCAAAGGGAAAATCCCTCTCTGCTTATGCCACTGAGGAACAGCTGATCTGCGGCAACATAAGCAGATAGGGATAGACAAAGAGACAAATATAAAAGGGTTATATTCATTGCATTATACTTGTTGAGGTCTCTGGACCAAGAATACAAAGCACCCAATATCTGACAAATCCTGATTCATTTTTATATTCGACCCCATGTCTAATTTGAATATAACATGTAGAAGGCATACCAAAAGGAATGGAAAAGGACACATGCTTTGTTTTCATGGAGTGAGATAGAAAATGGAATATATGCCGCAGAGACGGTCTGAAAGCAGCTGTGAAGGACAGATGGCTAGTGTGCCGTCCTCAGCTGATGACAAAGAGGATGTGACATCTAAGAGTGCAGAGAGGGAAATCATAAAAGTAAAGGAGGATGAATTTTAAGGCAGAGAAAGCCATAGAGATATGCTTGGTGGAAGAGACAGAGGGAGAAAAAGGGGAGGAGCAAGATTTGATACTATGGGAGGAAGATATAAAAGAAGGGAAAGAAGAGCGGGAATTTAGAACAGGAGTAGGCAAGAAAGACTGGAGCAGGAGCGATAGTGCGGTACAGACAGACAAGACAGAAGGACAAGCTGATAAGGTCTGTGATTTACTGAAAGATTTCCCTAATCTCAAGACAGATGGAGGACTGCTCCCTGACCCATCCCCTCCCCAGAGCAGAGAGAGGGTTGACCAGGTCTTGGAATGGACAGTTGTGGTTTTCCCCAGAAACAAAGGCAAAGAGAGGAAAGTGATCTGCCCCGGTCTTATATGCAATACCTTGCCCCCAGAGGGAGATTGGGCAAGGCATCCGTGCTGTGGGACGGTGTGTGCGGTGTGAAGTACCCTGATATGGCAGATAACAGACCGGGAACGCTTTGGTCCAGCCCTGATGTGAGGGAGGGAGTGTCTGCATCAGAGTTGAAGTTGCCAAGTTATAGACTGATGCCTGAGTTGAGTAGTTTTGATCCGTTTATTAATGTTAATCAAGAAAGCGAAGAGAATAAAAATAAGTTTGTTGAACCATTGAAATCGCCTCCATCTCTCATTCCCACCAAAATGGAGGAGCCATCACCAATTTTTGAAGAACCCAATCACAGCAGCAAAGAGATAACAATGCTGCATCAGACTATGGATAGCACATAGCCATAGGCCAAGATGAGTTTTTCTCTTTTTTAGAGAAAACATTTTTCTCTCTGTGTTAGAGCTAAATAATGCTTTTCATTTGTATTTTCTCATTATAAGAACTCTGACTTTGTTTTGTGTAATTTAAAGAAAGTATTTAAAGTTTTTGAAGCTATACAAACTTTTATTTTTAAATGAAGTATTATAGATATCTATTTTCTGCTTTTGTAGGCTATAAGCTCCAGTGTTTTAATTTTATTTTTCTTTTAATTCAAATATGACTAAAGTTCTCGTCTGGACTTTGTATAGCTACAAGCTTGCAACTGAAATTTATTTTCTGACTTAAGTACTGTATTTGTCCGAAGCTTAAGTTCAGTTCTTATAGATTTTTAAGTATTTGAGCCTGTATTTTTTTCCTCACAACTGTAAGACTGTTTTGATTTTTTTGGATTTACCATTTTTAAATATGAAACCTAAAAATTATGGAAATAAATAGAACTTGTACAGAATTAACAAGTTTTAGAATTGCCTGGAATTTTTGCAAGAAAAGGAAGTCTTATTATGAGATAACCAGATGCGTTTGTAAATGCTTGTCACTGATTATCTGGTTTTGTTCTGGGATTAACTGTTTACTGAGATGTCAGCTATGATGAATCATAGAATCTGTTCTTTGCCTGGGAGGTCTATAAATCTCTGTAGGACTTATAGGGGAGTCAGGTATACTTCTCAGTTTCTTACATCCCTCTCCTTCTCCACCACTCTGTGTGTGTGTGTGTGTGTGTGTGTGTGTCTGTGTCTGTGTCTGTCTGTGTCTGTGTCTGTGTCTGTGTCTGTCTGTCTGTCTGAGAAAAATAAAGCAAAAGACATTTTAGTTGTTCACTGATTTTTCCCCATCTGTCATTTTGAGCCAGCACTATATCAGACTGCAAGAATTTTTTAAAAAACATATAAAAATTGACACCACAGAGAGCAGGGGCTAGTGGCTGTGAGAAGCAGCAAGAGTGAAGGCGGGCAGGTAAAGGAGAAAGCCTCAAATGCAATGATTTTTAAAGCCAATGTGGTCCCCTCAACTGATATACAACACATTTTAAAAACGGATTAAACATTATCTGAAGATGAGACAAAAACTGACTGCAAAACCACATGACTTCAAAAACCCTGATCCATTTTCCGATTCATTTTCATAATATAACCATGCCCTGAGAGAGAAAAGAAATAAAGGAGAAAGCCTCAAATGCAATGATTCTTAAAGCCAATGTGGTCCCCTCAACTGATATACAACACATTTTAAAAACGGATTAAACATTATCTGAAGATGAGACAAAAACTGACTGCAAAACCACATGACTTCAAAAACCCTGATCCATTTTCCGATTCATTTTCATAATATAACCATGCCCTGAGAGAGAAAAGAAAGGAGGACCTCTGATTTAGAGGACTCAGAACTGTGAAGTAGCCAGATAAGAGTTTAGATTTCAGGGACTTACAATGAAAAAGTTATCATCAAGAGCTATGCTGTTAGCAGGAGCTGAAGCATCTCCTTTTGTTGAGAATCTGTGAAAAATTGCATGTCCTTTCTGGAACATGTCCAAGAACAAGTATTCATCTATGTATACAGAAAGAATTGTTTATCCTACAAAGAAAAGAAAAATAAAGCAAAAGACATTTTAGCAGTATGACAGGCATGTGCACATGTGGGTTTTTTAGCTCCAAATCCCAGAATAGAGTTGCACCTGCCAGACAGATATGTGAATTGTGCTCACCTGGAAAAACGCTGAGGTTGAAGGCTTCATGGCCTAGAATAACCTGACCTCCAGCACAGTTGCCTGTTAGAAAAGGAAGTTGCCCTGGTGTTTGCTGAGAATTTTTTTCTAAAGGACTATGCCTAATAAGAACCTAACAGCTTGTAATGTTCAACCTTCTTATTCTTATGAGTTTTTAATAGGCTCCTTTTTTGTTCACTGATTCTGAAAACAGCAGTCACAAGATATTATATCTTGTGATCAACATAACAAAGGCTGTTTTTCACCAAAAGTGTTAATTTTTTTTCCTAAAGGGCAGTGCAAAGATGGCTAAAAAAAGCAATGGAAGGGCTACAGTGGCTGTTGGGCTGGTTTAGTAGAAGGGGAGTCGCTGTTGGCAACCTTAAAGTCTTAAGGGCAGGGGGTTGGGGTAGTGGTGATTGCTTTGGTGTCAGCACAAGTCTGGTAGAGGAAGTCTGGTGAATTAGGATAAATTTGTCAAAATCACAGTTGTTTCTACAAAATCACAGTAAGTGGAGAGCTCCTCCAAAAACGTACCCTAACAAAATATAACACTGAGCATGGGCAGCTGAGTCTGGCTCTGGGTTCCCAGATTTTTGGAAAGAGTCCACGCTTAACTGGCCTCTCCGCTGCTTGCAGCAGCTCCCCCACCTGACGCCCTCGCCCTTGGCACCGGCCAGGAGGTTCCGGCGGGGCTTGTGTTCTAGTCCGCGTTTCACATTTACGTCCAATGACCGATGACCGGGGGGGGGGCGTAAACACAGATAGGTCAGCACTGCAGAGACCACAACTCCCTTCGCCTCTGCCCCGCTAACAGAGCTTGTGTCATTTCCAACTCGCTGAACAAGAGAATGATTAAATTAGGCAAAAGGATTATGTAAAACTGCACTCCCTCACCAGAGCGACGAGACCACGACCTTGTTGGAAGGCTGTGAATTCCGAGCGCCTTTCCCGACAGCTGCCGCTCGAGGTCGTTGCCTCTTTGGCTCTCTACCTGCTAGACACCTCTGCCTGTATACTCCCCTTCCACTATCATCCTCTTCTCCCCCCCCCCCCCGCGCAACCCGCGCGCCCAGGCTAAGAAGAAAGCGACCGCACGCAGGCAGCCCTTTGATCCGTCGGGAACACACCGACCCTCCCGAGCACAATCCGGGGCTCAGCCCCATAATAAAGCCTCGCGCTGTAGTGAATCGGGGACATGACGCGGACGCTTTTACGTTCACAGAATTAAAAGAGTTACAAAGTGGGAAACAGTTTTCAAACGAAGCACAAGGCTAGGAAAGGGGGGGGGGAACAACCCAGGACGCTCCCCCTCCCGCCTCTTAAGCCCTTGATGCATCTCTTGTTTTTTGAGGGGAACCCCTGAGCTGAAACCATGAAAAATCTTAGACCGAAAAGTCTTAAGATTTGAAATGGAAAATTCTACCGACGTATCTCTGCTCGGCAACTTCTCTAACTTTACTACCATAGTCAGTTCTTCAACGCCAATCAAAACTCGAGTCAAGAAGCATTCATCGTATCTTCGCCTTGCAAGAAACTTGTCTCCTCGAGGCTGCCGTAGGCGTTCGCGTAAATTGCACATGCGCCTTTGAGGGCGGCTCCGTCTCACAATGGCCGCTGTTTGGAGTCGGGGTCGGTTGTTCCGTGGCGTGTCCGGCAGTAAGTATTTGGAAGATGGACCGGTTCTTATACCCTTCAAGCCTGGTTTCTTTTTTTGGTAATGCTTTTTGTCGCCCTCCTCTCCCCCCCCTCTCTTCGTGGGATTTTAAAAAGACATATTCCGCATGCAGGCGGTGACGGAAGTGTTGGATTTGTTGTCCCGGCGTTTGGAAGGGAAGACAGAAACAGGCCTGAGTACTGTAGAGAGGTTTCTGCAGCGGCGCCCTCTCGTGTGTGTTTTCGCACGTGGAGCCTGCGGCCTCTTTAATCCAGGGGAGGTGGGGAGAGGGGACCGGTGACGTTCCCGCGGGCTCTGGTGCCCAGGATGCAGGTCTTGGCTAACCGTAGCCACTCTGTCCTTGTTTGGGGACATCGGGCTCAACCAGACGATGCGGAGGAACAGGCAGGGTTACTGCGTCGGCCGCCGAAAGGAGAAGGCGAGAGAAGGCGTCGGGAAGGGAAGGGAAAATAACAGCCGGCCGGCTGGGGAAAGGACAGATAGCGGACAGGTAAGCTGAAGGCCCTGGCAGCGGCTATGCGGTGGCACCAGCACCTTAGAAGGGAACTCAAGAAGAGGAGAGCTCCGGTACTGGAGAGAGAAGCCCCTTCCCCATGAGGGAAGGCCAGGCCCCTTGGACTCCCTTTCAGCCTGGAGGAGGGGTTGCGCTAGCAGCATTCACACATACGCCCCCACCCCCACCCCCGAAAGGGCCTCTACTTATCAGTCCTGGAGCGAACATCTCACATTGCCTGTGGCGGTGAAGGGGGCAAATGAAACGGCCGCCTCTGTGAGAGAAGGGCAGGTTCGCAGGCCCACATTGTAGTAATTCTGTCACGTTGAAGCCTTGCAGCCCTGCTGATGAGACCCAACCCTATGAGAAGGTACAGACAGTCCTTGGGACTGCAGATGAGACTGGATAACAAAGGGATACCTGGCATGATTCCTGTCTGCCCATCCCAAGGCCTAGATCCTCCACTCATGTTTCTGTATATATGACCCCCCAATGTATAAGGTGACCCCCAGTTTTGACCCTAGCCAGAGGGTCAATGGGCAGCCATGAGGGGCAGCTGCATGGCTGCGCCTCCTGCTGCTGCCGATCACCTGCTCCAGCACCAGTACTGGGGCTCACCTCCTGCTCATGTCACCGCCTTGTCCCCTGCCCAAAAGGAGCCCACGAGTGGCGCTGGAGGAGGCGATCTGGAGGCGGCAGCAGTAGTCAGTGGGCAGCTGTGAGAGGCAGCTGTAATGCCTTCAACTCCCTGAGGTGATCCAGCGATTTATCTTTATGTGGGGCTTTCAGGGCACTGGAGGTGCAGCCCCTTTACTATTCAAGTAAGAATTGGGAGGGATGGACTGGAGAGCTGAGGGTCACAGGAAAAAACAGGGGGTGTCCCAGACTGCCCGTGCTTTTGTGAGTTCAGCATACAATGCAGTAAAGTTGACTGAAAAGTACTTGGAACCAGAGCCTGCTCATAGGTATATAAAGTTCAAACAGCCTTATTATGGTGATATAAAACTATATTGTGTCCCTTTCAGGAAGACAGTCTGAAAGCCCTTTACTATGCCTAGTTGTCATGTAACCCACTTTGCTTTTTTGGGTGGGAAGGATATTCCAGTTCCACCTGACTTCCTTGTTCCAGTTTTTCCTCAGTATTTGTTCTTGTCAAGGAAGAATAATACTCTGATAAAATAGATTCCATTGCAGACAATAACTATTAATTTAATAAACTTCTGAATCTGTAAGTAAGATGTTAAGAGATTTTATATTTCCTGTTTGCATGCATTGCAAATGACCCAATGGGAATGCATTCTTAAATAAATAGTTTTGACATTTCACTTTTAACCAAGACCACAGCCCTGCACATCTATGAGTGCAGTTCTCCTACATCTTCTAATTTTCCCAGTAAATTTGCATAAGATTGAACTGTAATACCATTTAGCTTTAACAAAAGAAAAATACAAAACCTGCAATTCTATACTTACTTTTCTGGGACTACATACTATCTAAATCAGTGAAATGTATCAAAACATGAAAAGAAGATACAAAGTTGGCAAAGCTTCACTTGTTACACCAGTGTATGAGAAAAAAAGCATAACATGTAGCAGCAGGAAAGTAGTTATGGAGATTAGGTGCTGATAAAATGTAGCTGGCAATTAACCAAAAATTTTCCCTTGAAGGGTACTTTTCTCTTTCTGTTGGACACTTCACCTCTCAAGATGGAGAAGCAGCACAATTTAAGCCACCTCCAAAGCCAGTCATTATGGATGAGTCAAAACCAGAGACAGAACAAAGAAAGTATGTTAATTTAAATTTTGTACTTAGCTTTGCCTCTTCATAATGTGTAATGTGGCAAATTGGATTTTCTTTTATGTTTATATAGCTTTTTGTGTGTCTGACAGATTTCTAAGTCCTGAATTCATTCCTCCCCGTGGGAGAACAAATCCATTCAAATACTATCTTGAACGAAGAGACATGGTAAAGAGGAGAAAATCAATTAACATTCCGGAATTCTATGCTGGTCAGTAACATTATCTAGAACGTAAAGGTCATAATGCCCCAGAATATAGTACTTATATATCATAGAAAGAGTAGTGCATTTGACAACAGTGGCCAGAATCCTATTGGTGGGTCACGTAAAAGGCTAATTTACAACATGCCAGCATGCATCTCAGGTGTACAATGGAATGCATGTTGTTGTTGTTGTTGTTGTTGTTGTTGTTGTTTAGCCACAGCAAGTTACACAAATCTTAGATAAACACTAAAAGGACTTTGGCTCATGTCTGTGTATTCTGAATTTAAGAACATTTCCTAAATATCTTCATAATTAATAGAACAAATTGGAGAATATTGTATTTTATACTTATTTAATCACATTATAAATCAATATGATGTTTGAACATATTCAAATGGAAATTTGTTGACTAAGGTGCTGCAGACAGTTAACATAACAAATAAATATATTTCATGATCAGACTTGATGTAATTTTAAAATAGATTTTCATCACTTTGTAGCACATTCATTTCCAAAATGCTACTGGCCAACTATTGTTCCCTATTAATATTGTTATTTTAAAAATATCAGCAAAAATAACTTGGCATCAAAGAAACAAAACAGTGTATGTTAGTATATAATCAGCTTTGAGGTCAAATACTTTTGAATAAGGAGACCATGTTACTGTATATATAGTTACTGATGCCTACCTCTTGTAGAGTGGACCACAAGTTATTTAAAGTTAGTTGGTACCTTAAATGAGCAAATTGGTGTAACTAAATTTATTTTTCAGTTGTATACACACTTATCCAAGTGTAAGTCCGATTTAAGTCAGATGGGCTTAGCTGTGTGATAGCTATATACAGGGCCACACTGTTGGTGTACTGTAGCCTTGTTTAAAAGGAGTCTGCAAAAGGAGATGTCCTGCCAGGCCTTATAAAAGAGCTTCTGTGCCTGCTGAGCGTTTTTCAGTATACATGGCTAAGTGCTGATCCTCTTTCATTTGCAGAGGCTGGTGGATTTGTCCAGTTTGTAATAAAGCTTTTCTGCTTGCAAGAGAAGTTTCCTTCAAGCATAATGGGATGTTACGGTTTTTCCACATGGTTGTGTGGTGTGGCTTATTTTCTTAAACCATTTACTGAATTCAACAGCTGTACACCGAAATACAACAATGTTCCTTACAAATGCACAAATGTTTTTCCTCCTTAGGAAGAACAGAATCCTCATCCAATGTGATGTATTATAGGCTGGCTTGAATTATGGCTCTCCTTAGCCAAATACTTGCCTTTTATTATTTATCAATAACCTTGCTATAATTCAGAGATATGCTGTTTAGTGTCAAATCAGAAACATGGTGGACAGTGACAACATGAAATTCAAACCACTTTCTAAGTCTTCAGTTTTATTTAAGGAGTCTTTATATGAACCTTGCTGAATCTATCCATCTACTATATTCTTCTGGCTATTGAACATTTCCTTTTTATCTTTGGCAGGAAGTATACTTTCTGTTACTGCAGCTGATCTCTATGCTAATGGAAAGAACAACACTTTTGTAGGAATTTGTATTCAGCGCAGAGGAAGTGGACTTGGTGCAACTTTTAGACTTCGAAATGTTATAGAAGGACAGGGTGGGTAAATGATGACTGTATGTCAAAACAGTTTTCTATTTATGGGCAGCAGAAAGTGTTGAAAATAAGTACTAGCTTATCTGGTCTCCAGGTGTGTTATGCAGATGTGACGGAAAATATATTCCACCTTAGTACAAATTTAAGCCATTGAGGTTAAAACAGATGTCCTAAATGTTCCGTTTTGTTAATATGAGTTTGCATGGATGACAACAACATCCCTCAATGTATAGATTTGCTGTAGGTCCATTATTATAAGCCAATTCTTGGAAAAGGTTAAGATGATGTTGATAGTGTTCGCAACATTTTTTACTCATAATACATATTTGTGATATGTGCTAGCACTTTTCAAATACTTGAAAGGTTATCATAGGAGTGGCAGGATCTGTTCTCAGTTATTCCGGAGTGCAAGATATGCAATAATGGGCTCAGGTTACAGGAAGACAGATTTCAGTTGAATATCAGGAAAACAATTCTTAATGGTTAGAGCAGTATGACAATAAACTAATTACCTTGGGAGGTGATGAGCACTCCAACACTGGAGGCATTTAAGAGAAATATGTATGTCAGTCAAAAGTCCTGCATTGAACAGGGGATTGGGCTCAGTGGCCTTGTAGGTCCTTTCCAATTCTATTCCACAATTCTATGTGTATTCATTCAATCTTAGTGAAAACAACACCACTGCATAACTTAAAACTTCCTCCAGCCAACCTTGGTTCATAACAGATAATATGGTTGCCCATTTTTAATGAGTTCATTCTTTGTAACTAAACAGTAACTAAACCAATAATTTTTCATTTAAGGAGTTGAAATATGCTATGAGCTATATAATCCTCTAATCCAGGAGATCAAAGTTCTGAAACTGGAGAAGAGATTGGATGATGATCTGATGTATTTAAGAGATGCTCTTCCAGAGTATAGCACCGTTGATGTTAACATGGAGCCTGTAAATCTTGGAACTGAGGAAGTTTATGTCAATAAGGTAAATAGTAAGAGAGGCATGTGGTTGCCATTTGGTTATTCTTCAAGATCATGTTGTATTGTGAATTTTTTCCTTAAACACTTTTGTTTGCTTTGGGACTGCGGTATTAAGAGAGGTCCTATTCAAGCTGAGGCATCGCTATAAGGAATTGATTTCTTCCCTTTGGCCAACACCTTCCTTTACAGGTGGTTAGCTGCTTTATGGCTTACTCCTTGCAAAAGAATAAAAACAAAGTTTTCCCAACTCTTGAGCAGATTGCAGAAGGCTTTCAAGGCATCATTCAGGTTTAACTGTGTAGCCCTTCCATGCCACTAGTCACTAAGAATTTTTCACATTCAGCATGAAAATCTAATGAAGTAGGATGTTTGCTAAACATGCAAAAACTCTAATTGACATGGGGGAGTTAAAGTGGGACTTAACTGTGAGTCCCTAGCATCCCCACAATTACAGTTCTTTCTGCTTTCAGGCTATAATGTCTCAATACTGCTTAAAGCTTATATTTGACAGTAACAGTTTTTTCTTAGCTTGGGCACTCCTTTTTTGAGATCAGCTGATTACCACATACGTATCTTCATAATACCCAATGTCGTATAGTGGATAGAGTGACAGACTAGGACTCAGGAGGCCTGGGTTTAAATTATTGCTCATCCATGAAAGTTCACTGGGGGTGTGGAACTGGAAAACCACTTCTTAAATATTTCAGTTACCTATTAGGGTTGCTGTAATTCATTTCTGACTTGATGACACACAACATATCCAGGCCACTTGGTCAAACTATGTATTCATGATGGATAAAATAATATAAACTCTGGCAGAATTTAATACATATTAATTTTTGTGCATTAGCATGGCTAGAAAATGGTGGAAACAGTAATTTTCCAGAATACTTATATTTGATAGGGCTAAACATTTCTTGTTTGATAATGGGCAGTCCCCAAAGAATGAAGCTCACTGGAGATGCATGAATTCTTGGGGAGCAACCTGCAGCATTGCTAAAGCTAAGTAACTGTGGTTAGGAATCTACTTAGGAGTCTATCTGTTGCACGTAACTCAAAGAGATTCATCCATATACCAAAAATATGAGCTAACATGCTTTACTTTCAATTACACTAGATGCAGGTCAAAATGAAACCAAAACCCTGGTCAAAACGGTGGGAACATCCCAAGTTCAACATCAAAGGCATCAACTTCGATGTTTATCTTACAGAAAAAAACAAAGAGAAAATTAAACAGTGGAGCATGCCTTGGAGAGAATTTGATATGATGAAAGAATATGATACAACAGAAATTGAAAAGAAAATATGGGAAGAAGTGAATGCAGAGCTGAAAAAGAAGTAAAACTATGAAGGTTTTATTTAGAATGACCATATCTGCTAATTTTACTTCTTTTAATTCTTACATCTTAAAAAAACACACTGGAATGCAGTTTTCCATGTCAGCTGTATCTGTATGCTGCAAACAATGGCCTTTTAAAATCTATTCTGTAAGGGCATTTTGTGTCTGTTTATTGTCTTATTGTGAAGAGGAGGCTAAGGTTGTGGTTATGTCTAGTAGTGAGCTGTCCTCTCGATCATCCGGGACAGGAGGAATCAGCACACTTATGTCCACCTTGCCTACAAGGATGGAGGACCTAACTATAAGAGGAGGGATGACTGAATAGTGGGGGAAAGGAGAAAAGGCAGGAAAAGGAGAGTTGGTGACGGAAGGTTTCTTGATGACGGAGGAGGAGGGAGAGAGAGGAAGAAAAGCTGGGGTTCGGAAGAGTGGATTAGTCTGGAGAGAGAGGGAAAAGAGGAGAGCAGTGTAAAAAGGGGAAGGGAGGAAGTACCCTATGTTTTTACTGTCCCAGGAAGGGAGGAAGCAAAAAGAGAGAGAGGAGGTGGCTATGTTTGGGGTTGAGGAGGCCCGGGGTCTAGAAATACAACTGGGAGAATTGGATCCCTTAGAATGGACCCGCAAGGGAAGGGTCCCTGGGGGAAGGTGGTTCAACCAGATCCTACAACAACTCAGACCCTACGTGAGGGAGATTGGGCTCAACACCCATGTTGTGGAACCATCTGTGTGGTGAGGAGCAGCCCTATAAGAAAGCCGACGGACAGGGACACATTTGGAGCATCTCCACGTTAAGAGATAATGAACTGGTTAATGGCCTGCCAATGTTATGGACAGAATCCTCGTTGTTGACCGGTCCCATTGGACCTATAGAAGTTGTAGTTGACCAAAAGTAAACATCTGGTTGATAAAATTACGCGTCCTGTGGTTAATTCTGCCAAAGAAGAGGAATTGCTTAGTTTTGTATCAGAAACTACTTACACTTACCAAAGGAAGACAGCCTTAAGAACGTAAGGGAAGAGGACATGAAAGCCTTTGCTATTGCTCCCAGCTCTTCTGAATGCAAAACAGCAAACACCTCATGGTAAAGACCAACAGCATTATCATTTCTTCTGTTCAGAGCACTTCCAAATTTTGCAGAATATATTTTATAAATGAAAGAGAAGGGGCTATCTACTTCTACTATCCTCTGATTCTCAGGCAAAATATTTACCCAAATGCAATATGCCAGAAGGTCCGTTAAGCACCAGAGCTGGATTGAGGCTGATGGAATCACTAGCACGCAGCACTTCAAAGGAGGTAAATTTATTAACATGTTCAAGACAAGAGAATAGCTTGGACTGGGTGTAAGAATAGATCAAAAAAAAGAGTATAAACAGTCGAAAGATGGGTCCTGTTCACAGTCAAAGTAACACACAGTGATGTAACAAACAGCAAAATGAAAAAAATGTGTTCTCAGAGGGAACAAAAACAGGCTCCATGATACAGCTTTCCATAGCAATGTCTTCAACAACCCAGGACAGATTGAATTAGCTAATAATAACTTGAGTAGCTGTGTAAATTCCACACCTTACAGTTCTGCTGAGGCAAGGATGTATGCGTATCCCCTATGAGCACAGATGCACATGATTACACAAATCAGCAGGTCTATCTGCAGAATCTTAAGCTGGAAGGTAAGACAGACAGGCCTAGTAGGTGCCCGAGGCTGTCACTCACACAGAAGGATATCCCAAAATTTTTTAAAGAGTTGCTTACTATGAAGGACTCATGGCATACAAAGCCATGAGCCCTTTGTAGATTGGACTGTATGTTGACTTGAAAGTGCAGCTTTGGAGTGGTCTTCAATTCATCTTTGAGCCTGCATGCCTAGGCTTCTGGAGTGGTCAGGGGTGCCTTTACATAGTTAAAACTAGGGTACAAGCTGTGCCTTTTTCTGAGTAGATCTGACCTGGCCACAGTAACACATGTCTTAGTTACGCCCTGAGTGAATTACTGTAATACACTCAGTGGGGCTGCCTATGGAAAGTGTAGGGAAAGTTCAGCGGGTACAAATCAGCAGCCAGAGATGACATAACCTGCCTGTTACAGCTGCCAGTCCATATCTGGGTTCAATTCAAAATGCTAGTTTTAACCTATAAGCCCTAAATGACTTGAATCTCAAAGACCATGTCTCCTTTTATACTCTTGCCTAGGAGTTCAGATCATTGGGAGAGGCCTTTCTCTCAGTCCCACCACCTCACAGTTGTGTTTAGTGGGGACTGGAGAGGGCCTTTGTCACTGCTTCTAGACTCTGGAACTCCCTGCCAGAGGCGGCCAGGCTGGCCTCATCTTTGCTATTCTTCTGCAAGAAGCCAAAGACCTTTCTCTACAGCAGCAGTCCCCAACCTTTTTAGCCCCATGAACCAGTTGCAGAAGGCGGTGCACCCCCTGCGCTCATGCGCATGCACAAAAGCATGTGCTTGCACTTATGCATGAAGGGTGGCGCAGCACTCATGCAGGTGCACACTTGTGTGCATGCGTGAAGGGCAGTGCAGCACTTGTGCGGCCGCGCGTGCTTGTGTGCATGCACAAAGGGCGGCACAGTGCTCACACGCAGGCACAAACAGGCTGTGGGGGGAGTGTGTGCAGGGGTGGTCTCTCTCTGCCGCCCAGTTGGGCTGAGGCCATGGTCCGGCACAGTTTTCCTTAATGAATAGCTAGGAGAGGTTTTAAAATCAGATGGTTTGTATTATATTACTTTTATATCTCTTTTAGTAATGTTTTTACTTAACATTTTAATGTAGTTTTATTAATTATTTTTAATATTTGAATCATTCTTTTTAGCTTCTAATATTGTGTTTTTAATGTCTTGACTACTTTTTTAGGAGAAAGGCAGTGTAAATACATCTTAAATAAGTAAATCCATTCAATAGCAGAATAGAAAAAAATAAGCTGGAGATTCAGCAGGAACCACAACATTCTGCCAAGAAATAATGCTGGTGAATGAGAGGAATAGATGTTGCTTCCTCTTACTCACTTGTCACTGATCTCTCTTTGGCCCAGCAGGGAGGACGTAAGAGAACTAACAGTTTAACATGCAGCTGTTGTTACCTCCTGCCTGTTTTTTTTTAATGCTCTAAAAGGCCCTGTCTTTTGGGACAGATTTGGGACTCAGACCCAAAGACTTGCCAAAAAACTTGCTATCACCGGTGGTCTCTGCTCTGCTTTGATTTTTTGACTGCTCCAGCAAGCAGGAGTTAAGTCTTGCACTACTCATTCCCCACAGTGCACTACCCAGAAGGAGATCCAGCTGGACAAGCCAGAGGTTGAGGTGTTTACCTCTGTGAACATGCCATAGCTGCTCGATTGTTGAGCCAGGGTGCAGGAAACCAGCTCAAAAACCCCTTGTGGGAGTGGAAATTCATTAGTGAGTGGCCAATAGCAAACCATTGTTTGGAACACATCGTGTATTTCAAAAGCCCTATCCGACTTGCCCCATATTAATGACTGCAATTAACAGCAACCGTTTTTCTTGCCATGATCTTCTTGATGACTGGGCGGGAATCTCCTTCTACAGAGAGGCAGCGAGCGCGCTGAGGGGGCCAGCTTGCACTGCTTCCCTCTCGGCGCGCCATAGGGTCCCCAAGCCACCCCGTCCCCGCCGCCCTCCCCATTTGCACTCCAGGTCCAGCGCGCGCTTTATCACAATTGCTTCTGCAAGAGCCTCCTTGAGCTGGAAAGAAGTGGTCGGACTGCAACTTCGGCGGCCAGATTAAGCTGTAGTTCGTTCAGCCTTTCCTCTGGGTTTATGATCCCATTTAGGCCAAGAAACCCGGCTTGACGACGCCCTCCCAAGGCCAACCCCGGCGAACCCGCCTCCTTCTCGGAGGGCTGCGCTCCACAAGGAAGCCCAACGTGGGTGCCCGCAGTTCCTTTTCCTTCTCATGGCTCGCTTCTGAATAAGGAAGCTGCCGCCTGCAATTGGGCATCGTCGCCATCTTCGGATTTTGACGCAGCCGTAACAGCGGAAGGAGGAGCGAGGAAAGGAGTGCAAAGCGGCAGCCTTCCAGTTCGGGAGGGAGGAAGGAAGGAAAGGCGGCCGGTGGGTGCTGGCAGGCGGTGCAACAGGTGGGCGCAGGTGCGGCTCGCGGGAGGTTTCTTCCCCGACCTCCCCGGTGACCGGCGAGAGGCTGACAGGAAGGGCGGAGCTGCAGCTCCTTGACCCGCCGGGGCCAGCCAGCGACCAGGCCGGGCATCTTGGGGTCAGTGCCCTTGGGATGCCTTGGCGGAGCCGGGGCGTCGAACTCCCAAGGCGGAGGAGGTCCTTCGCTCTTTGCGGGCGAGTATTCAGTCAATTTGTGGGAGAGGCGGTGGCGGTGGCGGTGCCGAGTAGAGGGGCTGATGCCCTTTTGAACCACCGTTTAATTACGTGAAGGCTGGTGGTGGTTGGCATTTGTTGGGCAGGGGCAGGATTAAGAAACGGGCCCCTTCAATCTGGTGCCCACGTTGCGGAGACCGGACCGAAGGCAGGTCTGGAAGGACCCCGCCGAGTGCCCCCGGGGTGGGGGTGGGGGCGGGTATTTGGAGAGCCAGACGCCCAGCAGTGACAGGCGGGCGGAACTTGCGGAAGGCGACTCTCGGCGGAAGGACGCGCGGCGGCGGCGGCGGCGGCGGCGGCGGGCGGAGGGAAGTCGCCATTAGACGCGGCGGCGGCTGGGGTTATAATCTGCTCGTTTGGTCTCTTCCTCCGGGGACCCCGGAGTCATTCCTTCTACTTTAGCCCTTTCGCCGCCTGCCTTTCTTCTTTCTTCGTCCGAAACTGTGGCAGAGAGCTACACGGAACACAGTGATTTTTCTGCTAGCTGTTTATAGTTTCCATGTCAATTTGGCAGGTGTGTGGTCTGTAGAAGAGGATGACCAAAATAAATAGGACAGTGCTTACTGCCTAGCCAGCCGATTTGTTCCGAGAGATGCAAATATTTATTTTTATCTTTAAAAATTCGTATTGTAGCTAGGATTTTTGCCATTAGTTATATTGAATTTTTTGCTATACATTTGGTGAGGTCTTGTTATGTTTTAAAACATGTGTAGCCGTGTATCAGTTTTTTAATTTAATTTGAAACCTTTCTATGAATTCAATACTGTGTTCATATGCATATACTGTTTCAGTTTCAGACACACTGTATTAAATTTGCAAAAATTTAATCTGTGAGGTGAAAGTTGGAGAGGAAAATTGCTTGCACATCCTGAGCATCTCTACATGTTTTTATAGGATAGTATTTTTCTTTTTTAATTTTTTGCTTATCACATCTTTGGACATGCAGCCTGAAACTGCATGTCCGTTTACGACTTTCTTGCCTGGTGCAGAAAACTGGAAAGCTCAACAGGTCACCATATTTGTAACATTTTAGTGATCCAGTAAGAAATGTTTGAACAGCGGGGGAACAATTAAACTATTGTTAGGAATGGGTTTGTGGGGAGGAGGGGAAGAGATCTGTATTGGAGCTTAATTGAAACAGTTGTTATATCCTTATTTTAGAACAGCCTTCTCTTAAACTTGTCACTTCCCAGATTTATGGGACTACATATTCTATTATCAATACAGCCATTGAGTTGTAGTATTTGTAGTTCAAAGGATTTAGATACTACCAGCTCAGGTAAGCAATTTAAAACAGAAGAAGAACTAATTTGAAAGAGTAAAGAACAAAATATTACTAGAAGACTCTAGTAATGTCTGTAAATCCTAGTAATGTATGCCCCCCGCCCGTTTTCTTTAAAATGCACTGCTGGTAATGTTGAACTTAATGGGTTAAATTTTAACCCACTAATATAAATTAAACTAGGTTTTGAGGTGTCCTAAGTAAGATTTTACCTAATTAGACCTTTTGTACTGATGTTCTGACTTCTGATTTGGCAATGGTATGAGCTTATGTGCTGATACAGAGTCATAACTAGGCATTTGTGAATACCATCTGATGCAATTTGTATCCAAATATTTGCTGTACAAATTGGGACCAACTCAACTTTAGATAAGAAGAGAAGGTATTTTTCTAGCGCTGATTCTTTTGCTACAAGTATGTTATTTCAGTGTGGAAAAAATGTCTAGAAATGTAATTTTTGAAACATGAAAGGCAACTTTATAAATGTGTATTCTGTTTGTGTATCGTGCTGCTCACGCAAAGGAGTTAGGTATAGACGTTTTGCAGCATAATCCTGTGCATGGTTATTCAGAAATTTGTTGTGCTGGGATTTATCCTTACAAGTGGTTTTAAGATTGCTGCATTACTGTACTTTCTGGATAGATAGCACAGCTCACTGAGAAATATTGAACATTGGTAAGCAACATTTTGTTACTAAACTCATTTTGTACCTGTACCAAATTTTATAACTGAAAACTGGTCATTATCTTCAGGTTGTATCTTTGAACATATGCTTTTTAAGTTTCATTTGAAAATGGAAACAATTATTCTTTATGTAAAAATGCTCTTGAATGGGAACATTCTGAAGGACTTAAAAGAACCATCCATTTCAGCTAATATTTAAGCATAGTAAAAATAAAAATAGAATAAACCCCTCCAGAATGGCAGGATCCTTCTATAAATCTAGAATAGAATGTGCTGGAATAACAGTAGCAACAACAACAATAATGCTAATAATAATAACAATAGGTCCCTGTTGTCACGGGGCCTTTGGGAACTATATCAATAAATTTCACACAGTACTACCCTGTTTCCTCAAAAATAAGACCGAACCTGAAAATGAGCCCTAGTATGATTTTTCAGGATGCTCGTAATATAAGGTAAAGGTAAAGGTTCCCCTTGACAATTTTTGTCCAGTTGTACTCAACTCTAAGGGGCGGTGCTCATCCCCGTTTCCAAGCCATACAGCCAGCGTTTTGTCCGAAGACAATCTTCCGTGGTCACATGGCCAATGTGACTTCGACACGGAACGCTGTTACCTTCCCACCAAGGTGGTCCCTATTGATCTACTTGCATTTGCATGCTTTCGAACCGCTAGGTTGGCGGGAGCTGGGACAAGCGACGGGAGCACACTCCATCGCGTGGATTCGATCTTACGACTGCTGGTCTTCTGACCCTGCAGCACAGGCTTCTGCGGTTTAGCCCACAGCACCACCACGTCCCACCGTAATATAAGATCTACCCCTAAAATAAGCCCTAGTTAAGTGAAACCTAGCCCTCCACCATTGTGCAGCAACAGAAGAAGAAGATGTGACTAGATTGTTGTACATGAAAAAAATTAAACATCCCCTGAAAATAAGCCCTACTGCATTTTTGGAGCAAAAATTAATATAAGACCCTATCTTATTTTCAGGGAAAGACAGTATAAGCAATTGCTGATTTCAGAAATAACACCATCAGAGCTACAAAAAAAACACCAGTATTAGGAACAGCATACAGTACACACTGCGCTGATATTTAACAGATACTTAGGTTTTTTGGTTAAAACTTGTATCTATTATACTAGTCACTGTTTTTATAGTTTTGATTGACTGTGCCTGGTGATGATGATGATGATGATAATAATGATGATGATGATGATGATAATTAATAAACAAACAAACAAACACAAACTTATGAACTACAAACTTATAGATAGGTTGCTTGCATGGTTCCACTACAATGAGAAGTAGTTATGTTGGCATTAGTAGGAAAGACAACAGCACAGTCATTGGAGAAGCCAAAGCTAGCATTGCAGCCCCAGCACACAACCATCTTGATCATGTTGCAATAGGATGCTCCAACATTAGTCAAACAGCAGTTCATACATTATGGTGGCTAAATCAGCTTAGGACATAACACAGTCTGCTACACATTTGCTCATGCCGTATACATTGTACAGTCACGCAGAGACTCCAGTGAAAATTATTGTGGTATGGCCAAAATTGTGTCATTGACAGAGGTGAATTTGGTTGCTTTTTCCCCATCCCTTATTTTTATGACTGTTTTGTAGCAGCTAAGTCTGTAAACATAATAAGGATCTAACGTTTGTAAACCCTTGTAACTGAAAATAGGCTTGGATATCATCACATTATATCTCTGTTTGGAATGCTGTCATCTTCAAGCTAAACAATAATTTTCTCCAGTTAAGACCCAAAGAAAGTGTTTCCAATAAGCAGCTTGTTGGGCTGGATTTGATACATGTCCTTAGAACATATAGACATATGGGTGTATGATTTGAGGTGACCTAAAGGTCGTTACAGAGAGCACACACCCAAGTTTCTTTAATCTTTGCTATGTGTGTTGGTGATGTGATGGTCACATGCAGTTGACAGTGTCTTATTTTGAAATGAAAGTTTGACCTGTATCCACAGCTGTACCAACCAGCTTGGTCTTGTGGGGTTATAATGATGAAAGCTTATTGTGAGGTACATAGCCAAGACTCGTTCATTTCTTCATCTTTTGGCTGTTATTGTGTATATCCCTGACATACCAGTATTATCTTATAAAGGAGATGTTTGGCTGACTAGGTTACTTATTCATGATATTGAGCAAAGGAAGCAGTCCTGATTAGTGAGAATTATTTTTGGCAGGGGAAAGTGATTGTCCTCAGTTACTGTATGAAGATTTGTGAGATGGATCTTGGAGAAGCTTATGCTTATCAAGTTTACTGACCGAGATTTTAAACTTTAATGTAGATAGGGAACAAGGAACTGGATGTAGTACACAACAGCTTCATTATGACACCAGCAGCCTCCCCAAGCAGGGTTTCTGTTTGAATGTGTCATCATGTTAATATTTACAACCTATAAACACCCTTTTCCTAAGACAACTGGACCAGACAGGAAGGAATCTGGCCTTGCTTCCAGTCTGAGAGACCTTGGATTAGGCATGCGGTGGTGAACCTGTTTACCATCCATTAGCTCGTGTCAAAAACAAGGATTTCCAAGCTTGGGGGAAGATTGTCATAACAGCCACAAAGTTATGAGTCACTTGAAACCAGGGATGGGGACTTGCAACTTGCTGTTGAGTCCTTAAGTCACACCTACAACTCAGCTTGGGAGTTTCTGGGGTGACTCACAACCCAACTTGCAACTCGGACCCATTTGTCTGAGTCACACTGACAAGTCTCCGTGGCCCCTCACCAGCCTGCCTGCTGCCACCACTGCC